TTGCTCTATCCGAATTATAATACAGGTCATTGGTTTAGAAATTGAATATTTAATATCGAGAGTAACCGAAGGTTGACACTATTTCTATGCCTTCGTCTCGTCGAGATAACGTATGATGAAAGGATCGAATTGCACGGTAACCATATCGTTGATAGGTAGCTACTTTGCTGAATCTGAATCTATCGGGTGGCAATGATGCCTTGCTAGGGGCCAATCTTGGTCTGTGTATTAGTGAGACAATTAATTGGTGTTAATTACGATACTATACATTGCCGATATGATGAGGAGCCTATGGGTCACACACATAGAAGATAATTTAAGATCCAAGAAGAAAGAATGACGTTTTCGTCTTTTAAGGCGAAAAGGTATTTTGGTAATTTTATAGTGCAATTAAATTTGCTGAGGTCGTAGCCTTGATTTAATTTGTTAGAAAAATTAAATAAGTGAAATTATGTTTAAATGTGTGTTCGCACATATTTAAATATATTATCATTATTGTTAAATGTTAATATATATTAATTGATTTTAATTGAGATAATGGTGGAAAATAAAGTAAAATATCAAATTGGGAGTGTTTGGCAACATGGGGCGTTTGGGTTGGAGCCCAAGCCTATTCCATATGGGATTAGGGTAACTTGATTAAATATAAAAGGAAAAGTGTGTGTTAATTGTTTTTAATGAATTGATTTCCTTTGAAATTAAAACACACACAGCCCCTCTCTTTCACTCCGACGGCAGAAACACTTTAAGCCTAAAATCAATTCAATTGATTTGCTTTCTTCTTAATCTTGAAGCCAAAGAGGATCTAGCAAATCCCTCTTTGGTTATTTTGAGATTGTCTTCGTGTGGACTACGTGGGTTCGATCCTACCCTTGGATCGGTAGCAAAACATTCGTTGACAAATTTGGAGGAGCCTCCAACGTGCGTTTGTTTTCTTTAAACTCATATTTATTTTTCTGCAGATTTTATTTAATATAAATTGTAAAATTATACCCTTGATTTTGGCTCATGTAAATGATCCCTGAATTATTTGTTTTGTTTCCGCTGCGTATATGGGATCGTTTACTTACAGTTATGGTTATTGAGAAATTGAGATGAGATTGATGATGAATTATGCTTGTTGTTGGATATATTTGAATATGAGAAGTGTATGTGATGTTTTGATGATGGGTTGAAATTGGAAGAATTAGAGGAATTTTTGGAAGTGTGTTTGCCGTGTAGGTATGGTGATGCTACAAGAGAGATTTTCTCTCATTTTTGGATGGTTGAGAAACAAATTGAATGATAATTAAATTAGGGTTTGTTTATGCACAAGTAATGTTTGATGAAATGCCTAAGAGAAGTATAAGTTTGAGTAGAAACCTTAATTTTATGCAACATTGCATATTTGCATTTCATGATTGCATCCAAGTAAGAATTTCAAGCATGAGCCATCCATATGCGTATAATTGTGTATATGTAGAAATTTAATAAAGAATAGAGAATAAAGACATAAAGAATAAAGAATAAAGCAAGAAAGAATAAAACACTCTAAGAATAAAGAGAAAGGAAGAATAAGCATTAAAGAATTAAGGAGTGGTAAAGAAGAGAAAAGAATAGGTTGTTGTGATGGAGAACTGTGAGTGCTAAGAAGAAATTCCCACATACACGCCACCTTAATTGAGTGGCATAAGAAGAAGAAGAATTGTACAACCCGTAAGAGTGTATGTGGATAAGGGTTGTACCAAGAAGAATTTCCTAAATGCACGCCACCTTAATTGAGTGGCCTAAGAAGAAAGAAGAATTTGTACGGTCCGCAAGAGTGCATGTAGATGAGGACTATACTCACTCACACGACCAAGGTTCCAAATCCATACATCAACCGAGACCGATCGGCAAAGAATAAGAAAAGAAAGAATAAGAGAGAAAAAGAAAGAATAAGAAAGAATAAGAAAGAATGAGAAAGAATGAGAAGGCTTGAACAAGCCAAGAGAAGAAAAGAAAAGAAAAGAGAAACAAGAGAAGAAAAGAAAAGAAAAACAAGAAAGAATAGAAAAGAAAAGAAATAGAACAAGAAATGGAAATAAGAAAGAAAAGCATTTTATGCATTATTGCATATGCATTTTATACATGCATATTGCCATGAATTTCATCATGGTTAGGAAGAATAGAAAGAATAAGAAAGAAAGAACAGAGAGAAATAGAAAATAAGAAAAGAACAGTGACAGTACGAAACAGAGGAAGAAACAGTGAAAGAAAAGAGAAGGAATTAAGTAAGGAAAGAACCAAAGAAGGAGAAGAGTTAAGGGATTTACTTACTGAGCATTTTTATGCTCACCCTGTTGTTTTTACATGTTTTTGCAGGACATAGGTGACTAGCAGTCAGAAGGACATCGACAAGCGGAGAGGATTGGCATTATTGTCCACCGTTGCTAAGTTTTTGTACCTGTTATTTTGATATATGTAAAGAATTATATTTTGTATGTAAAGAAAAATTTGGGCCCAACTATTTTCATATGCTAATTATGTATGTTTTCATAGTATATGTTATTAAATATACTATTAGAAAGAAGTCATTACAACACTTGAGGACGATGGTTAGGCCATTTGGATTGTGTGATTGGCTTGTTGGCTTGCTTCATATTTGAGGTTGGTAGTAGGAGCTACCAACTGGTGTGGATTAAGTTTGTTGGCCTACCTAATCAACCCATTTTGGCTTGTTTGCCAAAGCGAAGGTTTGAAATGGGCCAGATGGGATCTCAGTCTACTAGGAAAGCCAACGGGCTTTCTCGAGTTAATGGTGAGGGCTATTGACTTCAAGAAAATAGTGGGAGCATTGTTTTAATGAAAGACCATATTAAACATTAATGAACATTATAATGACTTTTACTTTTCTACAAATGTAGATTCACCAAAATGAGCATCATGAACCTGCGATCGATAATCGAGAAAGAGTATAGGCTGGATGGATCCGATTTCTTAGACTGGTATCATAATCTTTGGATTATACTGAAGTCTGAAAAAAGATTTTATATCCTTCATAAGCCATACAAGGCTGAGCTTGCTCCTGATGCTACTTAGGAAGTGGAGGATACTTATCAAAAGTTCCTTGATGATGCTAATGGCGTTCAATGCCTAATGCTAGCATCGATGACACCTGAGCAACAAAAGTAGCATGAGAATATGGACGCTACTTCCATTATTCTGCACCTCAAGGAGCTTTTCGAAGGAAATGCTCAACATGAGAGGTTAGGTCTATCACTAAACCCTCATTAAGTCTGCATCCCAAAATCTCAAGTATGTTCATATACTCGGTCAACTTGAGTATATAATCGCCAATTTTGGTACTCTCATCCATCTTGCATCTAAACAACGACTGAGACACCGTATGCTTTTCATTTCTCTGACGAAAATGAAGAATATAAGCTAAGTCCATTTTCTAGCACTGTTGTCGCAGTAATTGTGTCATTGATGCAAGCACAATGTATCTAGTCATTAATTTCTGCTTTCTAATGAGTGGTGAAATGATATATATATTCCGTGATTTTATAGGTAGATTGTAGGGAATTCTTGACTTTAATGGATTATTTTTATTCAAGTTCTTTGCATATTTTTATTTGCAAGAATCATGGGTATGTGTATGAGTTTAGGTTTTCAAGCAAAAAAAGTGAGGAATTTATGCTCACACGATGGTTAGAGACTGTATACGTGCTAAAGGAAAAAAAACAGATTGTTAAGCTGAAGAAAGGAAGTGAATTTGCTAGATGGCGCCATGGCATGGACTTTTCATGCCGCAGCGCGAGAAGTTGAAGTTGGGTAGAAAGTTCATGCCACGGCATGAAGAAAGTAGTGTCGCAGCATGACAAGGCCGTATGTTTGTGGAAAAATTCTGCATTGTGGCGCCAGAAATTCATGTTGCGACATGGATCGCGAGAAAAATAAAATCCTTATTTTTTTTAACTCCGACTTGAACTTGCACTCTTCCAAAAACACCCTTAGCAAAGTAAAAATATAAATAGGACTTTGTAATTTAGTTTAAGGGCTAGGGATCTAGATGAGATATTTTCTAATTATGGAGTGTTAATAGTTAATTAAAGACTAAAAAATTGGAATTGTATGTGTGTTTTATTTTCTAAATCAATAATAATAAGGTGGATTTACCTATTAAAGTAGGTATTGCTAATATTAGGGGTTTGTTTGTTATTTCTGAAATGTTGAGGGGGTTAAAAAGATTTTAAAAGGTGAATTTTATGTGGGCTAATATAATTTCAGAAAAAGAAAAATTATGCCCTTCCATCAATCTTTATTGTTCAACTTTTCGACAAAATGAAAAAAAGCTAAAGATGTGGCTATGAAACAGCCACAGATCTCGTTGTTTCTAACCGTGACAAGAGTCGGCTAGTCATGCACTATTACGACGACTGTTGACAACAGCCAACATTGGTAGCTGGCTGTCGGTAGTGACTTAGGATGGGTGTAGGTGATTTTGTTATAAATTAAAGTTTTATATGACTTTGGTATTTTAACAAAATTTCAAATGTAGGGGTTAAAAAAAAATTCAAAAAATAATAATAAAAATAATATTATATTAATATTTAAAAATGAGGGTAATTTAGTAATTTATATAACATACCTACCAGTTTATCCTCCTAATTAAATATATCAATATATCATACCCACTAATTTATTCTAACCTAACCAAAAGTATTTTTATAAATATTTCCAATAATAATTAAGGTAGTCTATCTTTCCATTAATATAATATTTCAAGTATTAATGGGAGATGTAATTAGGCCCATGCTTTGTATTTCTTTTTTTTTTTTTTTTTTTTTTATTAGGTCCAGCTTGCTTGATTGAGGGCTGCTCCCTCTTGGGCCTGTGATTTTTATAGGTCCAGCTTGCAGGTCCAAAAACGACGGCATGAAACTCCCTTACTTGAAGCTTCAACTATAATATAAGAACGCCTTCTACCATTTTCTTGCTCCTCACTCCAAATCCTCCTTCTCAATCTCCAACAATGGCAGCTGCGATGGTTCTCGACCCCAAACCAACCTCCGACCCTCCGCCGTCACTCCCCTCTACAAGATCCGACCTCCACGGCAGCTCCAACGACCAGCAATTCTCTGACGAAGATGACCTCTACAGTCGCCTCAAATCCCTCCAACGCCAGCTCGAGTTCATCGACATCCAAGAAGAGTACGTCAAAGACGAACAGAAGAATCTGAAACGTGAACTCCTCCGCGCCCAAGAGGAGGTCAAGCGGATCCAATCTGTGCCGTTGGTTATTGGACAGTTCATGGAGATGGTTGATCAGAACAACGGCATCGTCGGCTCCACCACCGGGTCCAATTACTATGTTAGAATCCTTAGCACGATTAATCGGGAACTCTTGAAACCCTCGGCTTCTGTGGCCTTGCACCGACATTCTAATGCTCTGGTTGATGTTCTCCCGCCCGAAGCTGATTCCAGTATTTCGCTTCTTAGCCAGTCGGAGAAGCCCGATGTCACGTATAATGTGAGTTTCTGCTTTCAATTCTTTAGGGCTAAGGGTGTTACTGATAATTCCGATATTAAAATCAAACTAAAGACAGGAGAGGTTGATGAAGTTAACCTTTTTTTTCTGTAATTGTAATTATGTGCTGTTAGGGTTTATGAATTAGGGCTTGTTTGATATAGATTTTTCATATAGTTAGGGATGAAAAATACTTTATGAAAATGATATTGGTCAAAATGGGTGAAATGTTTATAAAAACTGAAGATAAAATCCTAAAACCTAGCGGTTTATGTATATTTAAACTCAGAAAATAGTATATTGAGATATAAAGGTTTATGGAAGTATTTATATTGACATATAATTTTTCTGTTGTTAGGATATTGGAGGATGTGACATTCAAAAACAGGAAATTCGTGAGGCTGTGGAGTTACCACTCACTCACCATGAATTGTACAAGCAAATTGGGATAGACCCTCCTCGTGGAGTTTTGCTTTATGGTCCTCCAGGAACTGGAAAAACCATGCTTGCCAAGGCAGTTGCTAATCATACAACTGCAGCTTTCATTAGAGTTGTTGGCTCTGAATTTGTTCAGAAGTATTTGGGTGAGGTATGAATTCAAGGATGCACAACTGTTTTTCTTCTATCATTTACAATGATATTTCTCTATATGCCTTGATATCACTATCTACTTTGCTTTGTTGGCTCGATAACTGCAACACTGGTGTTGTTGATGGATAGTTTTAATCTCTTTTGCAGAGTTTTGAATAGATTTTACCTTGTCTGGTTTGGTAATAATTGCCTATTTTTCTAGTTATAATATCATTTTTGTTTGTTATCCTTCAGGGTCCACGAATGGTTCGTGATGTTTTCCGTCTTGCCAAAGAGAATGCCCCTGCAATTATCTTTATAGATGAGGTAGATGCTATTGCCACTGCTAGGTTTGATGCCCAAACTGGTGCTGATAGAGAGGTTCAGCGTATCCTCATGGAGTTACTGAATCAGGTATGACTGAATTACACAGTGGAATTCAATGATTTCCTTAATGGAGGTTGTTGGAAATTAATCATGAAAATATTATCCAAAAACTGAGAAAAATTATTAGGAAATATCTATAATTTTTTTTTTTTATTGACTTTTTTTTGTAATTACTGCTATTCTAGATGGATGGGTTCGACCAGACAGTTAACGTTAAGGTTATTATGGCCACCAATCGTGCTGACACTTTGGACCCTGCACTATACGTCCTGGGAGGCTTGATAGAAAATTGAGTTCCCTTTGCCTGATAGACGACAAAAAGGCTCGTTTTTCAGGTAGTTGCATAGTTGGTGTGCACGTTCCCATTTGTAAAGTTTTATAATTAGTCGTTATTTTTGTCGCTCTTTATTCAGTGTGAGGATTAATTTTCCTTGCCCCTGTTGTCTGCTATGCATTATATGTCTAATCTACTTTATGATGGCTGGTGTTCTACAGGTTTGCACTGCTAAAATGAACCTAAGTGATGAGGTGGACTTGGAGGATTATGTTTCTCGACCTGACAAAATCAGTGCGCAGAGGTTGGTTTCATTTTCTTTATAGAAGCTCATTATGCTATGGAAGTACTTGTGTTACGATTGCAGTTGACTCATGTCTAGCAGGAAATCTTTTTAGCTTTTTGCATGTTTTCTTTTCTTCAATGTCACAACAGAACCATTTTAATCTACTCTACTAAGAGTCACTTGAACCTTCTCTTTATCTTCAAAAGCTTGGTGTTAGCTAGTCACAGGATATTTCTAACCACTACTACTTTAAGCAAGCCGGAATTGCTCTTGCGTTACGTTTTTCATTCCTACCTTTGACAAGAATTACTTGGTTTTCCTGTAAGAAGCAATTACCTAGAATAGGGAATGTAACTTCTTTACCATGTCAAGTGTTTGGCATTGCAACTGTAGCAAAAGCTGTGATTTTGATACAGAAAGTGTTTACAGCAGATGTGCTGTGGTCAAATTATTTAAAGCCAGTATCTTGCTGCGGAACCATTGATCTTTTTCCTTTTTATTTTGTTACTTCTTTGTTAGAATCGAGACCAGATTTGACCTATGCTTTAACTTGGCTGGTTGGTAAATCTTTAAAAAAACCAGACAGTTGATGAAGAGTATTGGGTGGGGACAGGTTTGGCTCTAGCTCATTAGTTCATTTTGTTTTAGCATATGATCACGATATCAGATACTTCTTAATTAACCAATTTTCTTTGTGGTTTTGACTACTACAGATTGCAGCTATTTGTCAAGAAGCTGGAAGCATGCAGTACGCAAGAACCGGTACGTCATACTCCCGAAGACTTTGAGAAGGGTTACGAACCAATGTGAAGAAACCTGACACTGACTTTGAATTTTACAAATGAGAGGCCCAGCAGTGCACAAGATAGTACACTGCTTATGTTTGTTAAATTGTTTTGGTCAAATATAACCTTCTTGTTTATCAAGAACCGGTACATACAAGGACTCCGTGATAGGTCCTCTCAGTAGACTTTGTGAACAAATATTCTAATATGCAAAGTGTTGTATGGCCAAAACTTGTCTATCTCATTTTCTCTGATGACCTTACAGAAGGTATCGAGGCGAATGCTATGATGAGGCCCATTGATTTTATTTATTCGAAAAAGAGAAAAAAGATCAGTCACAAAATGGCATTTTTTTTTTTTTTTTTTTTTTTTCCTATTTGATGAGTGTTTTTGGCTGAATTAATGATTTAGCGGTTGTGTTTGTCTAATGTTTGAGCCGTATGGCATTGTGAGCATTGTTAACATTCGCTCTTCGCTCTTTCGGCTCTGAATGGCAGACAAGCCAAACATTTGATAGCCTAATGATGTGGATTTGGGTGATGCGGCAGTTGACCTATTAACTGTCATGTCAACTGTTATATGGATTGTGAGGAAGATTGCAAGAAGTGGTTTTAAAGTAGTATTATTGTAATTAAAGATTAAAAAGGTGGAGTCGTATGTGTGTTTTATTTTCTAAATTAATAATATGTGGATTAATTATGATTTGTTTAGTTTTTCTGAAACCCTGAGGGGGGTTATGACATCAAATTTGGAACTGAGAAATTTATGTGGGCTAATATGTTTCAAAAAGAAAAATGTTTCACAGAAATATAAAAAAAAATTACATAAGAGGGTACACCAAAGGCCTCTGCCCTTCTATCTATTTTCAACTCTTTGACAAGACGAAAAAAGCAAAAGAGAGTTCGATCCTGGCCTAGTCAGTATGAACGATGGCAGCATGTTTACACACTATCATCAATATATTTAATCCCGAGTTAAAAACTCAGAATTTCTAGGAAGCTGCTGACAAAATGCACTTAAATGTGTAAACAAGGAATAATTTACAATCAGCAAACTAATTAACCGATCTTTTTCTCTTTTATTCTTTTTCTTCAATATCCTTTTCTGCTAGTGTTTTCAATTTCTGTTTTTTCCGTTCTTGGCTTTCTCTTCGAATCCATCGTCCATCGACTTCATTGTCGCGACTCGTCTGGCCTTGTAGACCTGCAAAAGTTTCAATGCTTAAGCAATTTTGGAATGCTGTCAAGATACAGTTACCAATGTAGTCTTTGAAGAGATATTTTCTTACCCTAGTAATATCAGAAAGAACATCTTTCTCTTTGCATTCAAATTCTTCTAGTTGTTTTCCTAAACAGCTTCTATTTCATGAACGAGATCTACATCATTCTGCAATTCCCAGGTCTCCGAGGTTAATGAAATAAGCATATTTAGAATTACAGATCCCATGTTCCTTAGAGCTATGCAGAAAACTCAAAAGTAAAAAATTCAATTCATAGACCTCACCAGCACTTCATGCATTGAAGGATTCATCTAAGTAATAAAGATTTAATTTGGAAATTACATGAAGATTTAGGTGATGGTCAACTCAATAGGATGTGATATATAATTAAGAAACTCAGAATATCCTCTCTAGGATATGACTGTACTCACTTGGTAACGAAGCTCACAGCAAGCCCACCTCTGCCTGCTCTTGCAGTACGCCCCACACGATGAACATAATCTCTCGGGTATCTAAAATGGTCTGATTGTCAGATTCTACATCATGAAAGATTTATAGACAGAAAATGTAAAATTAGAATATAACCTTGGAATATTATAATTTACACAAGATCGACTGTAGGAATGTCCAAACCACGACTGGCAACATCAGTGGCAAGCAATACGTAGCTTGTCCTGATTTAAATCGATAAGTGCAGAAAGCCTTGGACTGGGATTTGAATATGCAGTGCTGCAGGTTCCTGTTCCAGTTCTTCCAGTAATAAACTTAGAGGTGACAACTTCTGTACAACGGTTAAAACATAAATGTAAGAAAGAGCCTGACTCAGTAGAAACAATTTTGGAAAATGAAGTAAAAAATTGCCAAAGAAGAGCATTTTTATTCCTAACAGAAGTAAACATCTCTGTCACATTAAAGCTACCAAAAAGATATAACCAATCTTGCAGAAGTTTATTGATCGTATTCAACATAGCAGATGACAGAAAACCGAATAACTCCAAAACTAGGAAGATTTTACTCAAAGATTAAGCTGTAATCTAAAATGAATTGATACCTGCAGGTGGAGACAAATATGATAGCAGAGCGACACCCATATCTTCCATCTTAGACAAATGTGCACAAGATAAACACCTTCACATTTTTTGGGATAAAAATATATTGTTGTTTAAGAGTCTCAACTGTCTTGAAGCCTTCATATGCCTCTAGAGTATGCTTTGTTTGCAGAAAGCTCTAGCAGTGTCTGTAAGTCACTAGTCATTGTTGCAGAAAATAAGAGTTTCTGCCTATTCTTTGGCAAGCACTGGAAAACTACTCTTAACTCCTCTTCAAAGCCAGCATCCAAACTCTATCTGCTTCATCCAACACCAGAAATGGACACAGTATAAAGAATACAATGAGTAAATTTCGGAACAATCGCAAAAGGAAGAAATGCTACACCCATTCTCGAACACATACAGAACCTAGGTAGAGTAAGAACACACAACAAAGACTTGTGTTGAAATCTCCGGCCTTCTTTCCTTCAAACAAGAAGATCAAAGTGAAGATTTTAATGCACCATTCCTCTGACCCTCTTGACTTAAACCCGACTCCCAAACCCCTAGGTGAAAACAATGGACAGCAGCTGTAATACTTCATGACCACCACTTCAAAATTCTCTACTAAGCCTTCAGTCTCCCTATCAGGATGACGAAATTGAAATTCAACAGATCATCTTAAATAACATGACACCAATAAAGTTACTACTAATGAACAACTACTGTCCAACAATTTCTACAATGGCAGCCACTACATGAACACCAGAATCCAAATTCACATGAAACTTGATAGCACACGTACCTTGGTTCTAGAAAACACCTGAGGAATATCAGGATCCTCCTCAAGCAAGACCTTAATCCTGCCAGGAGTAGCAATAACCACATGGGGTCTATTCATTAAACCCTTGGCTTGGTTCAACATATCCATGCCTCCAACCACCACCTCACACCTCAAATGCAAGCAAGAACCCAAAGCCTTAAACTGCTCAGCCAGCTGAAACGCCAGCTCCCTCGTCGGCGTCATCACCAATGCCAACACCCCGTACGGCTCCTCCGCCAACCGCTGCAGTATCGGCAGCGCAAATGCCGCCGTTTTCCCACTCCCAGTCTGCGCCAGACCCAGAACGTCGCGGCCCTCCAAAATTTTCGGAATGCAGTGGGTTTGGACCGGTGTAGCCGCCGCATACCCAGTTCCTTGCATGTCTCAACGGCCCAATCGCTAGACCCAGGTCCGCGAAAGTGTGGTTGCGGTAGCGGCGGCGGTAGTAGAATTAGGAGTTGAAACTGTAAACTTTTCAAGTTGTGGGGTTCATTGGTGAAGTTAGGGTCCTGCTCTTGAGTAGTTTGGTATGGGTTTGGGTTTAGGTTTGGTTTTGTTTGGAGAAGAGGAAGTTTTCATCAACAAGGGAATCTTGTTCCATGTTAGGGGCTGTTTGGATGGATGGTAAATCAGAGAATAAATTCTAAACTTCGGCTCAGTGAAAAATGAAGAAGAAGCGAAGGCGGTTCGTCGGTTAACCGGTAACGTAGGTTAGCCTCTATCTCATAAATTACTTATTAACCCCTTAAATATTAGTTTTAGAAAAGGACAGAAACATCCCTTAAGTTATCAATATTTATTTATTGGAAAATTTATACATATAATATTATTATTTTAAGACCAACGTGTTCATAGATTTTATTCGATAATGCTATATTTACTCACACTTACTAACTACCTTACTCACCTTTATAAAATTA